AACTAGTATCCTGCTAAGCACACTTTAACAAACCATTGCTTTATAACATTTTGTTTGTTTGTTGTGTAAAGTCATGGTTTCTGCTCCTGAAATTTACCACCTTTGACCAAAAGAAAAAAAAATTGCATAGACATAAAAAAGATTTAATAAGACATATTTAGAATGTGTTCTCATCAAGTACCAAAACCATAAAGAGGAAAGCAATTTTAAATATTTATGGAGTTTTTAAATACCTTTCACTATTTGTGAGAAGGCACAAATGATGTTTTTTTTTTTTATTCATTCATTTATTCAGAAGACATACACTGGGTTTGTATCATGCAGTAGGCCCTATTCTGGGCTCTCAGACACTATCTCAATATGGGCCTCTGCAGGTTCTTTGAAAGAGCCTTCTGTGAGGCAGTTTGGAAGTATTATACCAGGTACAGAGCAAAGAGTGGTGGGAAACATAGTAGGAAAGATGGACTCTGGCCTGAGCAGGGGGTGGCGGCAGGGGAGTAAAAGTGGTCATCTCAGGGGAAGATGAAACTAATGCTAGGTCTCGAAGGTGAGCAGATGTTCTTCCAAGATGCAGAGAGCCAGGGAAAGGATGTTCAGGCTCTAAGAGGAGAATAAGGAGGAGAAAGAAGATGGCCCCCTCAGGGTAGTTTGGTGAGAAAGTTTTGTTTGAGCCATTGATCATTAGCCTGTCCCTGAAAGACAGGATAGGATTTCCTATCTTGTCCTGTCACCCCACAGGCCAGGGAGAAGCATGACCTCAAGAATGTGAGGGGGGGTTAGGAGCTACTGCCAAGACAAAATAGTCAAAACACCCTTTATACTTACCCCCTCTCCCTAACTGTCTGCAGGACTCAGTTGTCTGCTGGATTGGTAAGATGATGTGACAGGCACAGATAGCCAGGAAGCTTCAGTGGGGAGAGTGCATGAGAAGAGACCTCCTGCACCCCATCCCAGGTTTTCCACAGACACAGTCCCATTTGTTAAGTGAGGCAGAGACATAGGCTTAAGTTCACCTTTCCTTTAAGGAGGTTTTTCCAATTTTCAAGAAGGGAGAAACCCTGGGCAATCTCCAGGGTGTTTGCTTAGAGCAGGAGCAGCTGTGTGACACTTCAGCTCAGGCCCACCATTACCAACCCCACCGGGCACTTATCCGCCCAACTACTACTCCTGGCTGCACCAGAAGACTCCTCTTGGGAAACACCCTTCCCCCAAGTCCTGTCCTCTCATTGCAGAAGAAACCAAACCTTGTCTCCTGAACATACAAATCACAAGCAGTCCAGTTCCTAATAGAGTACCTAATGGCATCATTAAATCACCCAGAGTGACACACAGCCAGCCCCCTGCTCGCACCCGCTCCAACTCTGCCAGGGATTTATTCCACACACATCTCAGCTGCTCAGCCCTTCCTGTAACTATTCGGAAGGATCTAGCACCTCATACTTCTAAATCGCTTAGCAAACCGGATTTCTATTTCCCAGGGGATCCTCATCAACTAGGTCAGGCTCATTACCTCTGTTTTAACTGTGGAAGCAAAGACGAGGAAGTACCTGGACCAAGGTCACCCCAGTCTGACACAGAACAGCGACTGAGAGGAATGAACTATTAGAACCTCTTGACCTCTAATACATGCACCAATGACACAACCTTGGAACATGCACAGAGAGGAAACACTTGAGGAAAAAGGTCATGTGGTCTTTTTGGAGTGTTGATGCTGCAATATTGCATTTTTTTGTATGAGGTCTTAGTATCCTATGACTTCTTTTGAAATTGAGATATAGTTCACATATCATAAATTCACCCTTTCAAAGCATATAATTCAGTGATTTTTAGTTTATTCAAAAGTTGTATACCCATCACCATTGCCTAATTCCAGATCGTTTCATCAGCTCGTAAAGAGGCTCTATACCCATTAGCAGTTTAAGACATTATAGGAGGGAGAAGGTGCTCTGTTCTGGGGTCTTAGCAGTAGTGACCCCAAGGAAAGGCAGGTATGTGGGGGTGTTTACAAACTGCTCCCACGGGGAGGTGTGCTGAGAGCACCTAATCTCTGGTCTTGGCTTCCAAGCCAGTCCCCTGAACCTCCCTGTGAATTAGTCCTACCCATCCCTTTGGACAGTGGTATCATGGTTCTGCCTGAACTAGACTCACCACAGAGGACAAAGGATAAAGGACAGAAAGTACAGGCCTGCCAAAGGCACCCGTTTGTTTTTAGTTTCAAGATAATTACAGAGTGATAGTTTCTTCCTTGGCTATTTTTCCTCTCTCCTGGCAGGATCTGACACCCAAGAGCTAAAATGCTAAACCAAGACCTTATTTACTTATGCTGTACCTGGCCTGGATCAACCAGTGAAAAATCACATAGGGCACAGTACATGTCTAGTGAATTTCTTTGCCAATAGGACTGAGATCAGAACTTGCATCATCAATGTATTGTCTTGTTCTGGGTGTTGGCTGAATATCCCAAGGAAAGGAAATGCTCACAAATTGCTTTACCAATGCAAGTCAGCCCTGAGGCTCCCAAGGAGTGAATTTGGGAGGTGATAAAATAGGTACTCCCCTCAAAGGCTATCTAAGGATTGCTGATAAAGCCCAGACAGTACCTTTGTCACAATGTACTAAACACAAGTGCCAACGGGAGCCTCTGTAATCACCTCAAAATACCACAGGTGGCACGAACATTGTGGGGCTGAGATTTCCGGAAAGTAGGGTGGTTCTGACATTTGGCATGTTCACAAACCTCACATCCCTCCACAACTTCTAAAATCCTGAAACTACCAGGAATACACAGAAACCAGGGTGCCATTTAGTCCTATATACAATGAATAATTTTGGAGCATACTATATTTCCTATAGTCAGCAAACTGTGTGTTACATGGTCCCTGCTCTCAAGGAGCTTTTAACCTAGTGGGAAACACAAGATATAGCCATGAATAAGTACTCTGCACAGGAATACCTGTGTGAGAGAGAGGACGGGACTTGGTTGGGCATAAGCAGATGGAAGGGAACAAAGTTACAAAAAAAGAAATTAGGGAGGTAATTCCAGATGAATAGAACAGTGTGTACAAAGGAACTGAAGGATAGTCCATATTTGTGGGCACAAAGAAGTCTGGTTAAGCTGCAGTAAAGAGGATATGGAGAATAGCTAAGGACTAAGGCAAAAAATAAATGTTAGTGTTAACTGTGCAAGTTGTGAATGTTACTTTAAGAATGCAGAGACAGGCCCGGCTCTGTAATGTTGGAAGCCATATGTGAGATTGGGGTTTAGTTTCCAGGTCAACCCGACACATTTGTGTGCCTGTGATCCTAGCTGGCTGGGAAGGCTGGGAGAGGATTGCGACCTAAGACTTTATCAATGGTCCCTGTCTCTCTAAATAAATAAATACTACCATATGATCCAGCAATCCCACTCCTTGGTATCTACCCAAAGGACAGAAGAATTCTTCATTGGAAAAATGCTTGCACATCGATGTTTATTGCGGCACTATTCATAATTGCTAAGTCATGGAACCAACCCAAATGCCCCCATATAGAGGAATGGATTGAAAAACTGTGGCACATATACTCTATGGAATACTACTCAGCCATAAAAAAAACAACAAAACCCTGGCTTTTGACAGAAAGTGGAAGAATATGGAAGATTTACTGCTGAGTGAGGCAAGCCAGGCTATGAAGGAGAGACATTGTATGTCCCCATTTAGCATATACTGAATGTCTGCACTCTATGACTGAAACTGATTGACTAATGGTTGTACAAACACAAGAAATGGATGTGAATGTCAGATGAGGTGTATGTGGAGGAGTGGGGCCTAATGAAGGACATTTGGAGAAGGGATACAGAGGTAGAGCATTGACGGATGGGGAGGTGTGGTGTTATCGGTTGAAGATATTTTGATCAACAGGACTGGGGAGAAATGTTCACATATTGAAATGCTCACATTGTAAGCTAAA